TAAATCATTGCCATTTTGTACTAATTCGTTCCTCTGACTAGACAGATACGTAGTTTAAAGCTAAAAGAGTCTTTGTCTATCACACAATATGCAGTTGTCTGTGAAATAATACTATGATTCCACAAACTACTGCTACTGCTGACTGGTTCTCACTATTGACAGCTGGCATTGACTCCTCTAGACCTTTAATCAGGGCAAAAGTTATGCATTATATAAGATCTAAATAGCTTTAAAAATGTCAAATACTGTAGAGGGAGTGGTCGATGGTGGTTTCTGGATGAACAAACAACATGAAAAAGGTGTATTTATGGGCGTGCTCGTTGGGTGTGCTCTTAAATAGGTGAGCTATAGTCATATCCACAAACACATTCTCACAGTAGTTACACATAGCAAAGCGAGAAAGTCATCTGAACAGTTTGTTTGGTATCTCCAGATGAAGGTGAGTGTGTACATAATGAATGCTCTATTTAGAATAAAGTATGAAAAAATTATGAGACACCAAGTTTCAATTGTGCGATATGAAGTTGCAATTTTTACATATGTAGTCATAATTGGGAAAGGATATGTTTTGAAATTGTGATTTGAATAATTTCAGATTTTTGTATAATATGTTAAGAAATGTAATTCATGAAAAACCTCTTTACAGTTGCAAAAATTTTTGTTTATAAGTTTATGCAACTTGATTTTTTTTCTCACTTTTTTTTGTCTTTGTGTAGGACTGAAAACCAGTCTGTATCAATTTACTTCACAAGCTCTGGTTGAACAAACCCAGTGCTCTTACCCTGTAAAACTGACTATACATTGAGAGTGATTGTTTTGAACTGACTTGCTAAACAGAGCTAATCCACCATGGCATGTGAACAAGATTACTACACTATCATGTATGGGCTGCAAGAGCTTGATTTTGAAGGGAAAGCAGTGCCCAGTGATCTTGTACTAATAGGTGAACATGCCTTTCCACTTGCCATGAATCCAAGAGGTCAGGTGCTGATGGCTGCATCTCATTACGGTCAGGGACGTGTGGTGGTGTTGGGACATGAGCAATACCTAACACACTTCCCTGGCCTGATAGAGAATGCCCTTATGTGGCTCATGCCATGTACCGGTGATGCTGGCATTGTAGGGATTCAGAAGAGTTTACGTTCAGTAGCTGAAAACTTGAAATACTGCCCTATCAAGACAGAGCTAGGAGACTTTCGGAATGGAATAGCTATATATATCACAGATGCTTGCAGTGTTGAGAACTGTGCAAAGGATCTGATAGCTTTCATCAAAGCTGGGGGTGGCTTGATCATTGCTGGCCAGGCCTGGAGTTGGGCTGCTGCCCACCCGCAAGAAAACACTATAAGGAACTTCCCAGGAAACAAAGTGTGCAGTGTTGCAGGAATTTACTTCTCGGAACACCAAGGAGAAGTTGGCATCTTTCCTGTTCCAAGAAACATCCCTTCTAGTTGGCTTGCTGTATCGTAAGTTCAGCAGACATTCTTACTTTTTTTACCCATTCTGTAAGAAAACAAACATTTCATCAGCTGTTTTCAATTGTTACTTTTCAGTATAGGCAAGGACTTTAAAGATGACCTACAGTTCCTGCTAGAAGGTGTGTCTGAGTTTGATGTCCAAGGTGGGGCTATAGCATCTGAGGTGATGGTGCACGGACCATTAGCATTTCCTATTGCAGTCACTCCAGCTGGAAAAGCATTCATTGCTGGTGCCTATTATGGACAAGGTCGCGTAATCCTGTTATCACATGAAGGCTTCATGGGACGGGAATCTCTGTCCACTTTCCTGATCAACGCTATCAAGTGGCTTGACGAGGGTCGCAAGGGTGTTATTGGGATTCTACCCAACCTAAAGGCAGCCCACACAGTACTGAGCAAATCTGGTTTAGATTGCCAGTTGACTGGTTTTAAAGAAGATCTAAGCGTCTATGTTTGCACTTCATACAGTGATGCCCAATGTGCAGAGATCCAAGAATTTGTTGCTGAAGGCGGTGGTCTTATGATTGGGGGTCATGCCTGGTATTGGGCCCAGACTCACTGCGGCTGCAATGTGATGACTGATTATCCAGGAAATCACATTCTTAATAAGATGGGATTGTGTCTCTTGGGCAGCACCTTGGGTGGAGGGTTATACAAAGCCCCAGAAATTGAGCATAGTTGTAAAGAGGGGTACCACTTTCGTAGTATGCTGCATCGGTTTGCTGAACATGTAAGCCTTGGGCAAGAACTGACTAATCAAGAACAGAGCTGCTTGAAACAGCTGGGCAACGACTGTGCCAGTTACCTTCGCATGCGATCTCATGACAGTGCCGCCTATACTTCAATGGTAGGTCTTCTTAGTGACATAGTGAAGGAGGTAGGTGTTCCACAAGTGTGTGGTAACTGCCCTGTTCAAAGTGCCAAAGACTACCTGATGCTCCATGTTGGGACTGAGGTATACAAGGTGTCACCCGATCCTGATGCCCTTCTTCCATACATCATTAAGGACAGACCTAACTTGCCAACTGTGTCTAATGCAAGAGTTCGGATCACTGCCAGCACTGGAGGTACGAAAGTTTTCCCACTAAATATTATTCCTTGTTTAAGTTTCAAAATACTTGAACACTATAAAATAAGAATGTAATTACTTGTTTCAGCTTGTGAAGAATGGATAAGCACAGGGTTATATCTTTCTCCTGGTATGAAGACGTACATAGCAGTACCTCCAGAGATCGTTGGGAAAAACTGGCAGGTGATGAATCAAGTCTACACATGTATCCAATCAAGGAATAGTTGCTGCATATAGTATACTTGTCATGATAGATACAACTTTATTGCTCATAGGCTTCGAGAGCATGTTATTAACATGAGGGGATAACACTTTATGCAGGTGCAGCTTGGTTGCCAAACAGATAATATTGGTGGAGCAAACGTTCTGAAACGTGCTCCCGTGGTCCATGAGCGATTCCCTTTGGGCACAGAGATGGTCCAAGTCTGCAATCTATGGGGGGGGCTCATCTATCTAATAGCACCTCCTCAAAGCAAAGTGGATGGGGTGGAAATTGTCGTGCAGGTCTCAGTACAGGCTCCATACTTCAAGTCTGGTAAGAATTTTGAATTAGCATCACAGTGAGGTTTCTATTCAGAACATTTAACATTGTTTGGTAAAATTTTTCAACACAAACTTGTTTCCTCCCTTAGGAGAGACCAGTGTTACTGACTGGGTGGACAGGATCCGTCAGGCACCCGCCCCCTGGGCGGAGCTTGAGTTTGAGAACATCATCATGACATTAGAATCAGAATATATAAGGAATCTGGACCGCCCTGACGAGGTGGCTAAACTTTGGGACACCATAATGAGAAGCATAGCTGACCTGGCAGCAAGGCCTGCCAAGTTCCCCCGCAAGGAGCGGTTTGTTGCAGATGTTCAGATCTCTCATGGTTGGTGGTACTATTAAATACTCTCAGTATCTTTGTTAGAATAAAGAAGCATCACTATTACAACAGAATCATGCTATTAATATTAATTACACTCACACTGTCCTGGTGATAACAATGTTCCCCCTTTTCCCCTTGCAGGTTTCATGCATGCTGGATACCCTATCATGATGCACTCCACCTCTGCCCCAGCTCTAGTAAATGTACAGGGAGCCTATAAAAGTGGCATGTGGGGATCCATTCACGAGCTGGGTCATAACCAACAGCGTGGAGTTTGGGAGTTCCCTCCACACACCACTGAGTGCACTTGCAACCTGTGGTCAGTGTACATACATGAGGAAGTTCTGGGTTTAAATAGGTCAAATGCTCATCCAGCCATGACTCTAGAAAACCGTCAGGCTCGTACCAAGATGTATTGCAGTGGCGGTAAGGATTTAAAAAGCTGGAGTATGTGGACAGCACTCGAGACATACATGCAGGTGCGAACAGACAGCATAAAATGTTATATTTGTTTATATAATTATTATGAAAGATATAATTGTGTCAATATAAAATAATATATTTATACCTATTTTTTCTCATCTTCCATCACATCAAATTTTTTTCCAGCTTCAGGAAAAATTTGGCTGGGATGCTTTCAAGAAAGTTTTTACTGCCTACCATGATATGAATGGAGTGCCAAATGGCAATGCAGGCAAGATGAATCTATATGCTGAGACCTTCTCCAAAGTGGTCAACATGAATCTTTGCCCTTTCTTCAAAGCGTGGGGTTGGCCCATCCAGCCCAGCACACAAGAGAAGATCTCTCATCTCCCTGAATGGAATGACCATCCTATGGTCCAGTATGCATAGGAACATCTTAGATAGCTTTTAAAATGTACAGTGCAAGTTTTAAGGCCCGTTCACACCAAGCACGATAACTATAAAGATAACGACGAAGATATAGTTCTAAAAATCGTTCTCAATATTAAAGAATAGCATAGTTCACACCACAACCATAACGATAACGATACAGAGGAACGATATCGTTGTGATCACTTTCAAAACTATTTTTTTCCAGCTGATGAACGATAAAACACTGACAGCCAATCAGAATCCATCCTGCTGTAACGAGCTCAAGAATTTAAAGCGGCAGACGCATGTGCGCTTAGAATAAACAGACGATATCGTTCGCTGGTGTGGACGCTAATATCGTTATCTTTATAGTTATCGTTCTTGGTGTGAACGGGGCTTTAATGTAGCTAATGGGTAATATTAAGTATAAAATTGATATATGCTTGCCTGGAATGTCATGGAAATTAACATTTCTTATAAGTACCTAGATGTGCAATTGATTCATGTCAGTGTAAAGTTATAAAATGTTCAGAGCACTTGATATTAACCAAAGGTGGCTATAGGCTAGTGGGCTAAGGTTAAACAGAATCAGAACATGCATGTAAAAAGCATGCATTTTACATGCACGACATATAGTATACATTTCATAAATACTAAAAACTGTGTGCACTGCAATTAACAGTATGGCATGGTATTTTGTATTGGTGTATTTGCCTTTTTTATCCAAGAGAATAAACCATATATAGCATTTTAAAAGACTCTGAATGGTGCATAATGTTGATGTGATTTGAAAATACAGAATTAAGCCCTGTTGGTAATACTCAAGAGATTTAATAAATTCATGTGAATGTGTTCGCCTAAGATTTGCATTGACGTTGAATAGCTCATTCACCGGTGCATCAGAAAATTGCTGAAGGAAGTCGACCATCTCATCTAAGGTGCGTTCTACAACAACATTCAGCTCTGTGTTTAGGGCAGTTGCAGCACCACTTAGGATAGGGCGGCCATTTTGAGTGACGCAGCAGTAAGCGTTCCAGGTGTACTCTGGGATGTTGACTCTTTTGACACTGTTCTTGATGATCCAGTTAGAGGAAGGAATTGCACCAACCAGTACATAAGCCTGATGACAGTTTGCATTGAACAAGCTGGTCAGTTTAGACTCATGTTTGTTCCAAGCGTTCTGATTCAGTGTTGAGTTTTGAGGCACCACATTGGTCAGGGTAAAGGTGGCATTACGACTTGGAACTAAAAGAGAGTGAAAACGGGAAAAAAACAGAAAAAAAATCATTCACTTCTGAGGTGATTTAAGGATATTTTTACTTCAGGAAGCCTCATTTTAAATCTATATTATCCCTAAGTGTCCACAGTACTAGCTTCTCACTTTGGCGATAAACGTAATAATGCTGAATGTCATCTGATCTATCTGAAACTATGACCTCAATCCCTAAAAATGTTAGCAGGAGTGAAGGCACAATGAAATACTTCATTAGCTGTTTACCTGCATGATGTCCATTGGGGTTCAAGTGTCCACGGTTAAATCCTGAGTTTGTGTTGTCTTCATTCAGAGCCTGTTTTCCTCCCAAATAGATGTCTGGGTTCTGCTGCAACAGCTTTTTTTGCAGCAGTTTGCAACTAGCAAAACATCATAGTCAGCAAAACAACGACATAAAAATCTCAAAGTTAGCCCTTTATTTCTACAATATTGGAACTAGAATTTTGTTGTTTATGTTTTTAAACTCCAGTGAATATCTCTCTGGGTAATATTTCATTGTATTATTATAATTTTATTTTACTATATTTTATTCTACTATATTATTATATTTTAAAATCAGTTTCTGTGTATCGTTTTGGCTAAAAATGCAATTTTCACAGTTATTGCAAAGCATAGTTCACTGAACAACTTTTGTGACAAGCTGAAATCTGGCATTAAACACCCTTTTATCAGTTTTCAGCCAAATTTAAAGAGTAAAACGGAATTGAAACTATCACTAAAAAGACTATATATATATATATATATATATATATATATATACAGTGTTGGGGAAAGTTACTTTTAAAAGTAATGCATTACAATATTGCATTACTCCATAAAAAAGTAACTAATTACGTTACTTAGTTACTTTTTATATTTTGTTGTTGTTGTTGTTTTTATTTATATTTACCTTCATTTTTACATATATATTATATATATATATAGAGAGAGAGAGAGACAGACAGGCAGACAGATAGACAGATAGATAGATGTATATGTAGGTATAAAGACACAACCCGAATATACTGCATACTGCAATTAAGTGACAAACAAACAAATAAATAAATATATAAACCCTTGAGCTAAATCCAGCATTAATTTCAGGTTTATGCTATTTAGTGCATGTCAAAATAGTGATTGTCTTTGGCTTTTTGTTCAGTAAAGCGACAGGTTTTTGTTGGTTTATTAAGAAGTCTGTTAAGATCAGCTGCCATACTCTCATACTATTGTCCAAAACATATTTGCAAATTGTCGATATACAGGTTGTGTCTGAGTCATCTTTCCAGAGTTAACTAACACTAGATGGCAGAATAGTGACAGAATTCATGTGCCATTAGAACTCAGCAGGTCTCTGGGCCTCAGATTCCTACAGAATATATAAAAAGCTAGAAAAATAAGAACAGCTGTAGAATTGTATATTTTGTATTAAGATTTGTATCCATATTTTCCTCATCCTATATATATTTGTACTTAAATTATCTTAACCTATTGATTTTATGATATAACGCTACTAAAGTAAATCTAAAAATAATTAGGCTACGATGAAAGAAAATAAAATTGATCATACATCTGACAGTCATGCTGAAACATTAACAGTTCATCATTCAGTAAAGCCATCTGAAGAAATGTGCGAGTTTCATATAAAGTATATTATTACATATTATTTAAATAGATGTTTTAAACAGTTAAATCTGACATATTACCATCACACAAGTTGGTTTAAGTCCAGTATCACATACCTTTATGAAATGGTTTCAAAAGAAACTCTTTGAGATAATGTACCTTTAAAAAGCTACATATCTGTGATTTTCAGACCCGTGGCAGTGCAAAGGTGTGGAACGGGCCAAATTCAAACATCTTCCATCCACTCTCCTCCTCTGTGTCCTTTAAGTCTATGCATTTCAGATGTATTCATACATTTCCAATATATTTATGCATGAGTTCTCTCCACTCACCCCTCCCTCCCTGCACACCCCATCCCATTAATGTAATCCATCACCCCAGCATCATCCGCCATGCAAGCAGCCCCTGAGTTGCCATGGCAACCACCTCAGGCCCCAGCTCTTTGCAACCGTGCTCTTATTGGAAGGAAAGCAGGCAGTCTGAGGCTGTCTGGTGGATGTGGTAATTGGCTTGGAGTCTCCAATCCCGCCCCCCACACACACACACAAACACACACATGCATACACAAACTCAAACAAATATGCACAAATAATGCAGCAGAACACAAGACATTTTTGATTTAGAACTGAATGTTATGGACAGAATTCTGATTTTAGTGCAAACGGGTTGAAATTTTGGGGTTTGGTAAAAGTCAAGCTAGCATGGAAAGGACAGGCATATTGGAATTGTGTTTGGAAAAGGAAAGTGTACTTTACTTTTTTTTTTTTTCCTTTTTTTAACTCTGGATTGAGACTAAATAATTAAAACAAAATGTAAAAAGTGTGGCACAAATAGACTGATTACTGGTTATTTAACTGTGTTTCTCCACAACAGGCAGGCAGAAGGTGCAAATACCTGTTTTACAATTCACTCTTCCAATTAAAAGCACAGCTTTACAGTACAGCGTGTCTGCTAGATTGCATGTCATTTATCAAGATGTAATGTTCTAGCTGTAGGAGAGAGAGAGAGAGAGAGAGAGAAAAAAAAAAGAGCCTTATTTTATCCCACAAACAGTTTTAAAATGGTTGCAGCCAGTCAGTTTTCATGCACTAGCGGAGGAAGCATATGTTGACCAATTTGTTTGTAAGTATTAAAAGTGCTACACTTTTTCGACCTAAGGTCTGAAATTTAGTCAAGGCTATTTTGCACCAAGACGTATGTTTCATTTTCACCGCTTTTATGTCCCTCTTAGAATTTAACAGGCCGTTTTTCACTGCTGTGCCTTTAAGACGTCTAGTTGCACACACTCTTCGCATATGAAATGAGTAACAGCTCTTTTCTGCACTTTTTCAAGGGCTGTGGGGTTTCTGTTAGGCCTGAGACAAGTTTGCAGTAATAGTATCATTGAAAAACCTCTGTCTATTGCTTTGTGAAATATTCATAAAATTGGGGCTGCAGCCAACGAGAAGTTTTATAATCGATTAATGTAATGTCAATTAATCTGATAAAAGAAATCTAATAAATATTATTTAAAATAATACTCATTGCAATTTGATGGTTATGAAAACAAATAGTCAATGTATCTATGTATGCAAAAAAAAAAAAAGTTGATTGCTTACCATTTAACCCTAAAAAGTGCAAAGCCATAAGGAGACATCAGAAATTAAATTATTGCTATTTTCGATCTTATTGGGACTCAAATAATACAATTTCATTATTTTTTTTCTTTTTAAAACTTGACTCTTATATTTGAGCCATAGCCATATAAATAAATGTACATTTATAGCCATATGTCTAACCAAGTTATGTTCCAAATTTGAAGTTGATATCACAAAAATTGTGCTTCGTGAGATTTTATTTGGGCACTATACCAAAAATAAACACTAACTGTATTGATTTTTTGATGCAGTTTTCTGTCACAAATTAATCAATTTCTGTCACAATATCACTTCTATTACAAAACAGTCACCAAATATGGAACCTTGACTGTCAGACGTTTTCAACGATATGTGTTTTGTCAAGATCACAAAAAGATTTGATTTTCTAAAACACAAGCCACAAAATCACAGTCTGTTTTTATATCTTGATTTTTACCCCTAAAAGGGCAACGTATCCCCTGAGATACAAACATTTAGAGACAGATTACAAACTCTTTCCCCGCCAGCATTTTGGAAAAAAGTTGCCAGCCACCGCTATCGATTTTGATGATTTTCACTAAAATTTGATGGCCTTCAGTATATTTTTCTGTATGAATCTTTGAATATGCAATACACCAAAATAAAGATCAGAGCCTCTACCTTTAAACAAAAAAAATCAGTTTTATTCTAGTTTAAAGCATTCTTTTTTTTATCAACACTTGAATATAAGTAGGGCCTAGGTTTCATAAAAATGCATAATTTTGAGCAAAAAGGTGAGGAAATCACATTTTTATCAAAAACTACATCTGGATAATATTCAGTATGATTATCAAAGCATAAATCCAGTAAATCGCTTCCATCAACACCTCCAAAGCTTGCACAGACATATTCCACTTCCTGGATCAACATTTTACTCCGTAACATTATGCAGTTTTCATTTATATGCTGTCTATTGCTGATGATCGCATTATTTTTCATATGCATCTGTTTACATAAGAGATCACTCGTTGCTCCGTCCTGTTCATGTGTGTGTTTGTTCGGGAGGTTTTGTACTCATTCAGGAGATGTGTAATAGTGCCCCCGAGTGTATAACAGTGAAAACACGAAAAGCCGTAAAATCTCGTCTTTGGCGGGGAAGCGTTTTCGTGTAAAAGACGAGATAACTCGTCAATGGCGGGGAAAGAGTTAATTAACAAAATTTCAAAGTAAACCTAATAAGCTAATGCTGAGCAATAGCTTAAACAGGTAATTCCCTTCCAACATGTATAAATATGTGAACTAGATCAACTTTTTATCGCCGGCGCACTTCGATCATTCAAGTCATGTGAAGTTTAACCGAGATTCCTTGCTGGACGACAATCCTCTTTATACAAAATGGAAATAACTGAGTGATTTTCTAACGTGCAGATGAAGATACAACAGTAAAGTATAAGTTATGTGCTGAGAAAAATGTAGTAAACAGCAATATCTGTAAGCGCGTATCAAGTATAAAGTATATCCTCATGTTTAGTTTCATGTACTTTTCCTTGAGAAGTTCTCTTTACTCATTTTACAGATACGTTTTTTTTTTTCATAGAAGCATTAATTAGTACTGTAAATGGGATGTGTTTGTGCACAGTGCACAGACTCGTTTAATCGATAATCACATTCGTTGTTAATTATTTTCATTATAAATTAATTGTGAAATAACAAAATAATCTAAGCAATGTGCCTACAAGTTTTAATAGTACTTTTATATGTACGTTTAACGTATTAATATGTACATGTAGGCTAAAATAAAGGCCCAACATTTAGGAGTAAATAAGGTACAAAGATATACCTTTTAGCTTTTATCGCCCCAGTGACAGTAGCCTACATTTTTCTGAGAGTGTAGGAGACTATAGTGCACTAATCATTTGACCTAATCATACTTTTATGATACTTTTATGGTACATTTGTCCCTTTTGAAGCTTGAAAGCTCCAGTTCCTATTCATTGTAAATGGATGAAAAATAGCAACCAGTGCATTCGTCAAAATGAGTGTTTTCATTATTAGCTGAACTACTTTTGTAATTGTTCCAAAAGATCCAAATCAAATTGAATCTTTGATTTAAAACACAACCAAAAAAAGACACATATATCCTCTGTTGCTGAATAAAGTTACATTTTGTATTTCAGCGCTGCTTCACTGGAAACATCACAGAAGACAAAATCAGATAATGGTACATTTTTTTATTTCCTGCTTGTCAAAATGGACAGAAATAAAAGAAAGGACATTCTTTAAAATGGATCACTGAGCAGCAGTGATCAGAGCCGCTCAGTTCCACGAGGAGCACCCATTTCAAGTTCAATGAAAACAAATGTACAACTCAGTCCTGAGTCAGAACACGCTTCTTTTCTCCATACGTCTGTTTTATTTTTCTATGGACAGTTACAAGATAGGAAAACACTCACACGTCCTCTCGCACAAGAGTATCTTTTGTGTGTGTGTGTTTGTGGGGGGAAAACTGCAAGCGAAAATCACAGCACAACAATACACAGGTAGAGAAGACCCTGCAAAATCAGCGAGACAGAATAAAGACAAAAAGAGCACAGATCTCAAACGAAGCTGGACAGAGAGAGGACACAGTGGTCCATGTTGAAACGGAAATGTAGTTGCCCACCATTTTAACAATCTGGTTTAGCGTTGTGTACCCATAATCCCTCATCCCACATAATGCCACTCGTACTCTCACATTACTAAGAATACAATCACATCATTATGACTCCACCCCTCATCAATAAAGGCCTGCGGACTAAAACGTATTTTCATACAAACCAATCACAGCCCCTCTTTTAGCATGACAATCATTTGAAAATACTACAGAACATGAAGGTTAGTTTCTAACCAAAAATCTCACCAAGGCAGACAAATCATAATATTTTTCCCCCTTAATACTGTTAAAAGTTAAATGTGTCATTTCTGCGGCACTGAATAGAATTGCAAAAATTGCAAAAAAGGTTTTCAAAACACTTTAACCAGCCCTTCCATCTGCCATTGGTCACACATACAGACAGCTCCGCCTCCAAACTCTTGCTATTGGTTGAGCCAGTGTTGCTATGCTGGGCTGCTCATACAAACATAGCAATGCTTTGAAAACGCCACAGAGCCACAGTGTTTTGGCTTCAGGAACTGAGAGGGAAAGAATCAACACATTCCATGTGTAATTATTGTGTGTAATCAATATCAGCACATGCAAAATGTGTCTGTAATTTCATCTTGGGTGTAAATTGCTTTGATTTTATTCTCAAAACTCTCTAATAGTGCCCTCATCCAATAAAATCACACAGACTGTGCAAAATAGTAATACGTACAAAAAAGAACAACGAGGGGTTGGCTGAACAGAGAAGTTGATATATCAAAATGTGAAATCAAGATTATTTCTACTGAAGACGAAACATTTCTACAACTCTTTTAAAAAGAATCGAAAAGATTTACATATCTGGCATCAGAGTTACCAATGGCGTAGTGCTCATTAAAACCATAAACTGGAAAATGATACAAAAATAGAAATAACCCAATAACATGGATTAATATTCCACTGACAGCGTAGAAAAGGCTGTTTTCACATTTTGATGCATTACAGCACATGGAACATTTCACTTGAGTCTATAGCATGGACTGATTCTGGAAAGACAGAGCACTTATCTATTTACAGCAAACGTCTCGCAACGTAAAGCTCAAGGACTCGGTGTAGAGAAAATGGCAGGCAGTCTTTTCAGTTAGGCCACGGATAAGAGGGGACTTTGGGTTCAAAACA